TGCTTATTTGCATCAGATGCATACAAATATTTTATGAACAAAATTTCTAAGTCACTGTTCTCCTCTCCCTCATTTCATTTTATGCGTGGTGTATATACCCCAATATATAGAATAAAACCTCAGTTGTAAGTCAGCGCTTCGTCCGTCTCTTTCACTGTCCTGTGTTTTGGGCTGTTTTTCGCTTCGTTGTTCAACGAAGGAGCTTTGATCGACCTCACGGGTATACTAGTGTTGTAAAAAAGTAGTTCAGAATGGTCTTTTTCTTTAGGAGCTCTTAGTGTTGAACTCATCCCCGTGATATGAATAAACCAGCACCTCCTCTATTCAATCAATGCCACTGCAAACGCTCGCGCCTGAATCAGGGCAGTTGGTCCCTCTTGGTTCAAGAAGTTGTTGTTGTATGACGCTACTTGAGGGGCAGTGCTGCTTGTGTCACGCACTCTTCTGAGGGACTGTTTGTGTCTTTGCCTGGAGCTGTTTTTCTCCTCTATATAGCGCGTCTGTCAGATTTCCTCCTCTGGTCTTCTTCTTCTCTTTGTATGCGCTATGTGGCATTTTTGCGCTTGCGATATTCTACATTGGCACATAAGGGATGAACAGAATTCAGGCACCCCACGGAAGCTTTACTCGCATTTCGCAGTGGTCGTGCCGCTGATAGTTGTTTATCGCTAAATGTTTCATGCGGCATACGTTGTCACTTTTATGTTTTCAGGGGCCTTGCTGACGAACATCATTTAGTCCGTATAGTTGGTTTGGTCTAAATAGCAGAGAAGCTGTCTTTGCTTCAGTAGCAAATAGGTATCAGTTATATCACACTCGTTTTTTTTAAACTGTGCATCGTTGCATTGTTTTTTATGAGTATAAAAATTGTCACTTTTCCAGGCTGCTAAATATATGACATCTCTGACCGGGGGTGGAGGCAGAATTTTTTCTTTTTCGGGAACGGGCGAGAATGTGTGCAATGTTATCAGTGGCAGAGCAAGGATTTAGCCCTGCAAGAGACAGTCATCGATGAGCCCTGCTAACGCAGTCCGCGTCTCACAGCAACAGAAGAGGCGTACTTGTGCGCCATATCGAACACGCATCAAGGTCGCTGAGACGCGCAGTCCGGGTCGGACAAGAAGCACGTGCTCAGACCGGGTATTATTAAAGACGGACGGACGGACGGACGGACGGACGGACGGACGGACAGACAGACAGACAGACAGACAGACAGACAGACAGACAGACAGACAGACAGACAGACAGACAGACAGATACGCGCGTTGTGAAAGAAGGTTTCCAAGAGAGGTTTCACATTAAAATTTATATAAGCAGAAAGTAAACAGAAAGGAAGAAGGCAGGAAGATTAACCAGCAAGATTTCCGGTTCACTAGGCTGCACTGGGAGATTAAAATTGAGGTGGCTTAGTCACCTTATGGTTTCGGCATGAACATTCTGTGGTATTGCAAATGCTGATAGCATGTATTGCAACCTGTGCAAGAAGTACTCTAAAACAAGCTATTGCTGTTATAACGAACTGTAAACTCTCATTTATTACTGACATTTGATTTTGTGGTAAAGAAGCGCAACGCCATTTAGGCGTGCCGAAACGGTACATTAAATCACTGCCCATGAAGCCCGTTCGTTTCTTTTTTTCAAGCAGGCGCTTCCACCGACAGCACATGTCACGCCATGTCACCACAAGTGAAACGAAAAAGCGCCAGCAGCAAACGGTCCGTCTCATCAACGCCCAGCCGGACAGCCCAGCATTATAATTAACAGGGTTGTTGCTAGTTGTGTAGAAAACGAAGAGCGACATTATCATCATTGGTGATTAGAATACTATTCAAAAGAAAGAAGAGGTGGACGAGTGAGCTTCGCCATGGGAACGGCGGCTCTTCCTTTTCTCTTTATTGTGGTGCCCAGAAACAGGGGAGACAGGACCTTTAGAAGTGAGATCAAACAGCTTTACAAAAGTCCTCGATGCTACGACTGCAGTCGAAATTCGTGAAGTACGCTCCGTCTCACCTCCCAAGGTCCTTCCTCCCGGGTTTTGGCACCAAAATGTTGAGTAAAAGACGAGCTGCCATGCCCATGGCGAAGCCCCCTCGTTGAACTCTTCTTTCTTCGAACACAACTCTGATCTTAATGATGATAAGGGCACTCTTTGTCGTTCACACAATATTTAACAAGGATTTCAAAGTGCCGCCCAGTGCATATTGGTACAACTTATTGAAAAAATGCTTTTGCCAGCAGCGGCCATGAGGCGCTGTATGAGGAGCTCTCTCCGCCATCATCGCTAAGCACTCATGAAGGCTAGGCGATGGCCGAGAGTGGGAAAGAGCTAGAGGAGAGTGTGGTGAACAGCTGAATCGGGCACATCTGCCTGGCATGGATAAAATATAGGAGGCGTTGCATGAACAAATGCTGTTGTATTGGTTTCTCGAGTTATGTAATGAGAAACACGGGTGTAACTCTTCAATGAATACTTTGCACAAATCTACAGCATGAAGAATGCCGGAACAATACTAGCATTGTTCGGATAATGCTCACGCTGGAAGAAAAGCACGTTGGCTAAGCAAAAGGCGACTTGAAGTGATAAACATCAAAGAATCACTTGTTTATGTTAGCCGGGTGCTTTATGTGGGCAGAAAGTTCTTGCGCCTGATTTTGTGTGTGGAGCCAATCTTTACTTCACCAGATATGGTTGTAGCCATGCGCAACGAAAAAAAAATATTTTCCCATCCTTCGCGTGATGAGGCAAGCGGAGCCCGGCTACAGTATAGTAGAAGAGGGCAGTGGGCTCACTCTCCAGTGGAAGCTATATAGTGGGGTGCCTTCGTTGCCAATTTGTACTTCTCTCTTCGCACGAGCGATGGTGCTGGCATCGACAATAGTAGAACTTGAGGTTGCAGTTGAAACAGTCGGCCAACTTTTCCAGAACAGCAGTTGTCAAGTCACGTTTCATTGTTGTAGAAGTAGCAGCAATGTTTTTTAGAGCGAAATCTGTTATGAAATCACAACTCATAACAGCTATGGCGACGGCGGACAACTACGGCGCACAGGTCTGCCGCTGTTGCCGTTGGTGCCCATAAGCACATCGCACGAAATTAGAAAAAAAAAGGAATATCAGCAATGGAACAGTGGGGCTCGAACCTGGGTCCGCTGGGTGCCAGCCCAGTATTCTACCACTGACCTACACTGGTGATTGTGACTTCTTGTTAAACTTGCCTTAGGTAGGCTTGGTGTCGGGAAAGCAATAGCATTAATACTACTACTTATAAAGCATTTTAAAACAGCGAAAGAACTACCTGTCATCGCACAACAGGACTAGAGTAACGAGTGGTCAGTCTAATGCCCCAACACATCACAAAAGCTTCTTTTTGTTCCCCTAATAACTGTGGCGCATACCCACTTCAGGTAATTCCTCTTCGTCATCAGCCACTGCATTAACATTTGGCCCAAAATTTTTTGCAAGTGTTTAGTGGATACCACACTTCTCATAAGAATGACGAAAAATAGCATAGCGAATGCCAGCCTACTACACAAATATTTTTATTTTTAATGCCGGAGTGGGTATCAAGCAAGTGTGCTTGCAGCAGTTATCCAATGAGTGTTTAGAAAGGGCTCTGAAGGCCACTCTTGTAGCTTTTGCCGTGACTATGCTGTGCCTTCTATTCAGGCCTGACGTTTTTTCCTTTTGGCAGCGTTTAGCCATGCGCAGCATGTACCAACTTAGTGTGCCTCTTTGTGACTGATCCACGCTGCAACATCGAAAAACCAGTGCCATGCGTCTAAGTGTCAAACAGACTAAGTGAAGGGTGGGTCGAAGCTGTGATTGTTTGGCATGCCGAAAAATCAGAACAGGCATGAAGGATGCAAAAAGAACCTGTCAGAGCGGACAAGCCCCTGGAAGACAGCAGCATGGTGCACGAGCTCCGCTTCGAGCTGCGTCATGTACTCAGAGGCTATGTGCACATTATCGATAAAAAAGGAGTGTGGGTACCTCGTGGGAGACACATTCTTTGCGCCCATGCTGTGCCACGATTCTATTCAATCTGCCAGTCTACCTTAGTAAAAAGCAGATGCAAGAGAGGAGTAAGAGAGAGATCAGAAACTTTAGAAGGACAATTATTTAGCCATAGTCTTGATACAAAAGGTTAGTCCTTTTGTATTTGTGGGTTTTGAGAACCTCAGGCGGATATCGTTGACGTCTTGCACGGGTAAGCTCATGGAGCATGTCGCTCAGACGTGGCCCAATAGGTACACGGAATAAAATGGTATGTATCCGGACACCCTGATCGGTTTTCGACTAAGACTATCGGCCTCCGATGTGATGCTACAGCTCAAGCACCAAATTATAGACAAGCCTACGTGAGACGCAAGAGTTATCGTGGAGTTAGATCTGGCAAAGGCATTTGACGACGTGAGGCACGTGTCAATCTTGGATAAGCTGACCTTGCTGAACGTTGGATTAGTTTACAACTTGACGTAGTTTATGACTACGTCTAGGACATCCCTTTAGAACAAAAAAGCCACTTTAAAAATCGGAGAAGAATCCATCGAGGACATTAAATTAGGCAACAGGAGGATGATGCCGCAGTGCTCGGTGCAATTACCCACTCTTTTCAACATTGTTATGTTGAAAGACGAACAGAAGAATGCCAAAAGTTCTCCCACTACGCAAAGAAATGCTTTTTCTTTATTAATAAGTCACATTTAATGATAAGTAACACAGTCTGCCGCTTCAGAGAGCTGTACACATCTCTAGACGCCTTCATAATAATCAAAGTTTCGCTCTTTCGTCCCTGTCGGTGCCTCCTCACACTCTCTCAGCGATCATGTGACTGATGAGAATGTGTCAAAACAAAACAAGAGAAAAAACAATAGAAGAAGGCATGGCACATTATTTTGAATGGCCACAAGCTTTTGCCGAAGACACTTTGTAACACACAGTTTGTTTTCTTCCTATTTTTGATATTTTATTATTTATATAAATAAGCAAATGAAATGTGCAGTGGCGAGAACGGCAGTGGCAAGACGTACGCATCCATGGTTCTCCTGCGGCAGCTGTTTGACGTGGCCGGCGGTGGATGCGAGACAGATGCCTTCAAGCACCTGGCTGCCGCCTTCACTGTGCTGCGCTCCCTGGGATGTGCCAAGACGCAGCAGAATGCACAATCTAGTCGAATCGTGAGTACTACGTCTCGCCACATGGGACCGGTTTCGGCTATAGCCTCATACTATCGGAAGCGTTCCCTAAACAATATGTAGTGAATGAACATTACTGGCAATGTTTTGGAACTAATGTTAGCCGAATTTAATTACCAACCATGCTAGACTAGTTGATAACGAATATATTTGGAAAGTTGAAGCCCTGTTCCTTGCTGCACTTATTACATATTTTCGATATATAATGAGTTGTATGAATTGTGGGGGTCTATCAGCCGTTTGCGCGTCGCGGCGTGCACATGTCTGGGCTGCATTTAGGTTCAAGCGTCTCGCAAGAGGTGGTGCAGTGCTTGCAAGAGTTCATCATCATCACTATCATGGTTAGTGTGGTAGCCCTAGTACTGCCACTCAGCAGCAAGGCTAGCTGGCCGCACAGTAAATATTCCGGAATCTCTTTTGGTGTATGGTGGCAGGCGTGAATGGTCTTCTCTTGACAGGAGTCCACGGATACGACAGCCGCGTACCGTGGATCCCCCCATGGTGAGTCAAACATCGGTGACGCCATTGTCGCGTTACCTTGGTGTTCTTCTCATTGTGTTTTAGTGTCGTACTGGGAATATTGTGTAGCGAGGGTATGGCGTCCTACGTAAATGTGCTTCAGTAAAGTGATTTGTTGGGTGAGTTGGTTTATTTTTATGGTAGCTTTTAGCGTTATATAAAAACAAGAGACGAACAAGCGTAAACTATCAACTGATTGTATTCGAAAGGCACACACATATGCAGTCAATCCTGGATATATCAAACTCTAATATATCGAATTATTGGTTATATCGAACAGTTGAAAAATTGCCTGGAATTTCCCATGAAAAAATACGAGACCGGTGCACACGCATATCAAACTCCTGCACAGCGGGACATTCGCTAAATCGAACGCTGCACTGTGTTGAAGCCTAGAAAGTGCATCTTTCCTAGTAAATATTCATCACTTTTAGGCCGCGTTCTCACAAGTTCCGATCATTCTTTGCGCACAGACAATAAAAAGTTGGTGTCATTCTATCGTGCTGATCTGGTTTGTTGCATGGCATTTGCGAGTACATCTGTTCATGCGATCTGCAAGTCTTAGCACACAGACATAGTGTTTTGCAAAAGACCGAGTGCCGAGTGCACAGAAATAAGAATGCGAAGTGATTCGGCGATCTCAGTGCGATGTTCATATGTGGTTCGCATTCTCTTCCTTGTTTGTTAGCACGCAATGGCATGCGAGCCTGAAAAGCATGGCCTTAGAGGTGTGCAACCTTATGACATATTTTTAGTGTTTTCAGTTGAAGAAGGCGTGTCTTGAAGGCTGCCCACTTTTTAAATCTTTTCGCATCAAAGCTGCTAAAAGGAGTGGCTGCCAGCCACAAAGCCACAGTGAAATTGATATCGTCTATATGTCAACAGTGAGAACTAGGACGAACTTGGCGTTGCGTCTTTTGCGCCTTGTGGTCTTGTGTACTTCTCGCCTCGTTCCTGGTAAATTCTCATTCGGGAGTTTAAACTCAACGTTGACCCGCTTTAGCTATAAAAATTATTTTATTTATTTATTTATTTACAGTATATTGCGATCAAAAGACCAAGCAGGGGGCATAATAAAAAGTAATTCAAAGTTTACCTCTATTACGAGTAAACTTTAAACAATAAAAATGTGGTAAAACAGTTGACCACAGAACACAAAATAAATGAATTAAGATGACAGCAAGATAATCGAAATCGCCGCTACAGAATGCAAATCAAATGCACTGTGAGACAGTCGAGCGCTTGTGTTGTATTGTTAAGAGAAGGATACATAGTTATTAACATCCAAAAAATCATTATCACAGAACTCTTCAAAAGGTAACTCGTTCCACTTATGGATGGTCCAATAAAAGAAAGAATTCATGAAAAGATTTGTATGTGTAAAGTAAGGCTCAAGACTGTAAACTTGTGTATGTCTAGTTGGTCTTGAAATTTGATTTCTTATGCAGTTTCTAGATGAATGCTAAATTTATCAAAACAAAGCAAGTGTAGAAATTTCCGCCAGGCAACTGCCATTTGGTATTGCTAAGTCGGGACAATAATAATGGTCACGATGATTGTTGGCGATTCATTTTTGTGGTAAGCTTTAAAAATGAAGCAAACTGCCTTACGCTGCACTATCTCAATTTTCCCAATCATGATCAGCCTGACTACGTCCACTGCAGGACAAAGGCCTCTCCCATATTCCGCCAGTCAACTCGTTCCTGTGCTTGCTGCTGCTAATTTATACCCGCAAACTTCTTAATCTCATCTGCGTTTGCCCCGCCGCGGTGGTCTAGTGGCTAAGGTACTCGGCTGCTGACCCCCAGGTCGCGGGATCGGATCCCGGCTGCGGCGGCTGCATTTCCGACGGAGGCGGAAATGTTGTAGGCCCGTTTGCTCAGATTTGGGTGCTCGTTAAAGAAACCCAGGTGGTTGAAATTTCCGGAGCCCTCCACTACGGCGTCTCTCACAATCATATGGTGGTTTCAGTACGTTAAACCCCATATATCAATCAATCTCATCTGCGTACCTAACCTTCTGTCTCCCCCTAACCCGCTTGCCTTCTCTAGGAATCTAGTTAGTTACCCTCATGACCAGCAGTTATCCTGTCTATGTGCTACATGCCCGGCCCATATTCATTTCCTCTTATTGATTTCAGCTATGATATCTTTAATCTCGGTTTCCTCCCCGATCCACTCCGCTCTTTTCTTGTCTCTTAAGGTTACACCTACCATTTTCTTTTCCATTACTCGCTGCGCCATCCTCAATTTAACCTGAACCCACTTTGTAAGTCTCTAGGTTTCTGCTCCATAGCTAAGTACCGGCAAGATGCAGCTGTTATATACCTTCCTCTTGAGGGATAGTGGCAATCTACCTGTCATGATTTCAGAGTGCTTGCCAAATGTGCTCCACCTCATTCTTATTCTTCTAGTTACTTTAGTCACGTGGTTCGGCTTCGCCGTTATTACCTGTCCTTAGTAGACATAGCCTCTTAAATCTTCAAGTGCACTATTACCTATCTCGAAGCGCTGCTCTTTTCCGAGGTTGTTGTACATTACTTTCGTTTTCTGCAGATTCATTTTAAGACCCACCTTTCTGCTCTCCTTGTTAACTCCGTAATCATGAGTTGCAATTCGTCCCCTGAGTTGCTCAGCAATGCAATGTCATCGGCGAAGCCGCTATTACTTTCGACAAATATGTGCGGCCTCGGTCCATGAGCAGCTAGCGTGGAGCACCATGTTGCAAGATCACGTCGCGCAAAGAAAATCGGCAATGTCTTTGGCAGCCTAATGAAAGAGCGCTTGTGATGGCGTAGCATGTGGCATAGTCTGTGGCCACAGCTATTCACCTGTTGCCAGCAAAAGACACGGGAAAAGGGCCGAGTACGTCCAAGCTGACGCGAAAGAAGTGTTCTGAAGAAATGCCGAGTGGTTCAAGGCACCCAACCAGAAGCGTCAACGATGTTTTGCGGCGCTGACATTCTTAACATGCTGCGACGTATCTTCAGGTGGAGCGTGCGAAACCTGGCAATAGAAGCAACGGCGAATCTGGTCATCTGTGCAGGACACGTCAAGGGGACCGGCAGTTGCAACGTTAGGAAGTTTGTGCAGTACAGCTGAGCGGAGGTATTTGGGTATTGCAAGCAGCAGAGATAGGCCATCTGGATGGAAGTTGTGGTGATATCGTGTACCATTCTGAAGTACGAACGAGCGATGGGATCGGTCCGATGATGAGGATTCGAGGCATGCAATGATAGCCCGCAAGGATGCATCGCGGCATTGCTCGTCGGCTATGTGGATCAGTTAGGAAAGGGAGCACACACAAGCGTCGTTCTCAGGGACGGTAGGGGATTCACAAACCAGACAGCAAGAGAAGAAATCAGGGTCCTGATGCAGCTGCCTAGAATTGTATGTCACTGCAAAGATGTACTCTTGCAGTCGCAGAGCCCAGCGGCCAAGTCGACCTGTGGCATCCCTTAAGGATGAAGGCCAGGAGAGTGCATGGCGATCCATAACAACAGAGAAGTAAGTGCCATATGAATATGGATGAAACTTCAAGTCCGTTCAGACAAGAGCAAGGCATTTTGCTCCGTAATTGAATAGTTGCGCTCCGCAGGTGTAGGAAGGCGGCTAGCATAGGTGAAAACCCAGTCGTGTTTCTGTTGGTGCTGGGCAAGAACGACTCTGGTCCTGTGACCACTGGCATTAGCTTGAACGTCAGTCTTGACGGATGGGTCGAAGTGGGCCAAGATAGGTGGCGTCCTCAAAAGCTTGATGAGGCGAGAGAAGGTGGCAGCTTGAGTGGACCCCCATAATAATGAAACACCTTCTTCAGAGGATCGGTAAGTGGTCGAGTGATTGCCGCCAAGTCTTTCACAAATCACCTGAAGTAGGTACAGAGTCCCACAAAACATTGGACATCTATGGCAGATTGGGGTACTGGGAAACTTATGCCATCATGAATTTTCTCGGGGTCCGGCATATGCTCAAACGTCCATCATATGTTCAAACGTGGCTGGGGCATTGCTTAGACAGAAGTGCATGACCTTGAATTGATACAGGCCATCAGAAGTGATGAAAGCAGTCTTTTCTTGGTCTTTCTCGTCCACAGCAATCTGCCAATAGCCTGAGCGAAGATCGATGGATAAAAAGTAGCGTGCGCCTTGAAGACATTCGAGAGCATCATCAATGCAGTCAAAGGATACATGTCCTTTTTCATAATTCGATTTAGATGCCAGTAATTGATGCAGAAACACCATGTGTTGTCCTTCTTTTTAACCAGGATGACAGGTGATGCCCAAGGGCTTGATGAGGGCTCAATAGTGCCTTTAGTTAGCACCTTGTTCTCTTCGGCCTAAATAATCTCGCACTCCAATGCAGACACCTGATACAGTCGACAGTGAATCGGAACAGCATCACCTTTGTTGATGCGGTGCTGCACAGGAGAAGTTTGGCCGAATGATGGATCATCAAGGTCGAAGA